TTAGTATGAACAAAACAAAAGTAATGAATATAAAGAAAGTTTTATTTTTTTTAAAGATATTAGGCCAAAGTTCACCACTAACAAGTTTTTATTTTATTTCTTTATTATTCAACGTTTTGGCCTCTCTAGCCATTTGCAAGATTCTGTAAAATTTTTTAAATTGGTTATTTTTCTTTAATATATATCATTATTAACAGTATATTACATAAATAATGCTTATTCTATATTTGTATTCTATTTTAGAAAAATTTTATGATTTAACATATCATTTTTTAAATATTTTAGGTTAAAAAAAATGAAAAATGAATTAATTATTGTTAAAAAAAATAATTTCTCTTAATTTTCTAATTGCCTTATGAAGGTATTGATTTTTTAAATTTTATATCTAACAAAAAATGTTTCCAAATATTTTCATATGATTTTGTTCTTCATAACGTTTTGGTATTTAAACTCTATTCTGAGAACATTTTGAACATCTATATAAAAATACGATTCAAAGATAAACGAATACAACAAATTAATGGATGCTCGTTGATAGAAAATGTGTTAAATTTTAAGATGAACTAAGAGATAGATAAATAAAGGCCATAAATACAAGAATTATGTTTCTAAATATACAGCACGATATCTTGTTTCTGGCTTAGGCACCGAATAACTTTATTTTATTTCAGCTTTTTTTATTTTTTATGGAAATTCCCAAAATTCTTATGCCTGTTTTTGAAATTATATTTTATGTTTTATATTCTCTTGGATTTGGAAAACTATTATCTTGGGAGATTCTTTGTTTATTTGCCCGCGTTTTACTTGTATTCAACTTACAATTTTTCTTTATTCTTAAAATTTAAAAACTGTTGTTCATATCAATGTATTGTCTATAGTTAAATGCATTCTTTGAATTTATTATTATGTTTCGCGAAAATCGTTCACTAAGAAAACCAGGGACAGTCATGGTCACTTTCTTGAAAAATAAAGCTGAAAATTTGGAAAATGTAGCAAAACAAAGGGAACAAGATGAATCAAAACTAAAAAAAGATAGAAAGTTTATGCAAATGGGAAAACTCCAAGAGAACATCCAGGAAGGAAGAAACTAAGGATGGGTCACTTTGAATTTTTTTATATATACCTATTAATAGGATTTAAACCCCAAAGCTATATCCAAAAAACAGTTAAACAGGTAGTTCAAGAATGCCCCATATTTAAAGCCTCATGGACTAAGGTACGGACCCCTTTTTATCAAATTATTAACACACGTCAAAAACTTCATGAGAGACTTCATTTTATCGTAATCTACTACTTTTTTATCACTATTCTCAGAAATAGGGGGTATTACGATTAAATAAATCAATTTAAGGTAGTACTTGATTAAATTAATTTAAACTCTTGAACACCCATTTCCTTTCCACTTTAATCGTAAGGTAATTTGATCACACATTCCAGAAAAGGTGGCATACAAAAATATTGAACCATTTGGCCAATATAACCTCGTTATTTTGACATGTTGGGGGTGGAGGTTGCGCCAAATGGCCCAATATTTTTGTAGATCACCTTTTCTCGTTTTTTTTAATCAAATTATCTTACGATTCAAGTGAAAAGAAAATAGATAATCATGGATTTTTACACACGCATCAAATTTATTTATTTAATCCGAAAACGCTTCATTTCGGAGAATTTTTGTAAGTACAAAAAGGTGCAGTTTTAGACAAGTGTTAATTTGATGAAAAAGAAGGGGTATATGGCGTTAACTACAAGGGAGTGATCTAATATTCCATTATCATTGAAAGAGAAATAAGAAGACGACAAAGAAACTTTGCAAATGATTTCCTAATGGTTTATTATTTCCAAATAGTTCATGGTGTCCAGTAAGTAGAGGGAAATGTTTAAAAATTTAAATGTTTAAAAATAGTAGGGTATTTTGTTGAATAGGAAGCGATAACTTAAAAAAATATTTGATTTAAATAAGTAAAAGCTCAATAACTGGCTTTAGCACCAGTGACGTGGTGAGAGAGTAGCGCAGGGATATCTTGGAGTCCTGCTTTTCTCTCTGTAGTTGGAGAGAGACGATTGTGTTTTTATGTTTTTAATTTACTCATCATTAAGTTATTTTTATTTTTATTGTATATACTTTTTGATTATTACTTAGTTGCTATTTTGCTTTTTTTTTATTTCATGTTTTCTGTACATATTGTGTGAATGTGTTCATATCTCATTATAATTATTGTCCGTATGACAGATTATTATATTTCTAAATAAATAAAAAAAAATTGAAAACACAATGTTTGCCGATCTCCAGAACGAAAACGACCCAATTTCGGGATTTATATTTTATAATATAAATAAGGTTTAAGTTATTTTTTCAATAAAACCGATTATTTTTATGTTTATTATATAATGTAAAGATTCTCATAATTGCTATTGATGGGTTTTATCCCATTAGATAAAGATGATTATATCTGATTAAATAAATTTAAAAAAAAAACTAGTTAAGTAACTAAACATTGCTCCATAGTAAACTAGATAAGATTTACTTTAAAAGTAAGTAAAGTTTATAAATGTCAAAATTATTTAAATACTATTGGGCGGACAAAGCTTTAAGCTAAGTTCAGTTTAAAAAGAACTCATAACTTAGTTGTGATTTTTTTTTATCACTCTTTAACCTTACTACATTTACTACAGTTTTAGAAAAAACATAATCTTATTAACAATAACTTTAATTCCATATTAATTATTTAATGTCCATATTAATTAAGTCCATATAAATTAAGAAGAGAAAAAATCGATTATTTCTTTAGGATTTATTAGTATAATTTCATATTTTATTTTCCTCTACTATCTTCCATTTAGCCGACTACTTATAGCAGTTGGAGGTCACCTTTAGCGCAAACAGAGTAAACATGTAAAATTGTTACATACCACATTTTACATTAACAGTAAGACATGATAAACATTTAGAACGTAATGTCTCCATCAAATCGTGTGTTTTCAATGACTCTTTTTGTCTTTCAGGAAATTATATAAGCCATAAATCAAGCATACAACATACAATAGCATGCAATCCGCAGTGAAAAGAAAAAGTTTATACTTTCTGAGTTATTCGGAAATATAATTTTTGCATCACTCGTAGCTTTATTTTCTAGCTCCTTTTCGGAGAAGTATGTTGTATACATGAATTTAAAGAGCTTTGAGGGCAAAACTTTAACCAAGTTTTGTTAATCGTTGTATTAGACGCTACAGTCAATAGTGACAGTTTAAATTTCCGGCCACCATTTTGAAAGGGAATGTCGAGTTGTGAAAATCATCCTCGGAATGACCTCTGGTTATGATTCCAAATCTCAAAAAAAATGTGGTGTCGTGCGCGCATCACACAACTTTCACTTACTACCCTCTTCTTAACAGAAATAATTATTTTCAGACAAATCGGAAGTGAAAGTAACAATTATAAATACTATATTGATATATATTTTATTGTGGGTATTTTTACATGAATGAGTACCCTTATATATATAACTTTCAATACTTATACAGCTGTAATCTATACAGTTAAATATTAAATAATACCAATGATAGCATTTATGAAAACCGCATATATATATTTACATAATATTGTCGGATTCCTTATTATATTATGCTCATGTCAAGTATGGAAGTATCGTGTTCTAATCTTTCGGGCGGGCTCGGGTGCGCTCGTAATCCTTTGGTTCCTGAATTACAAGTATTCTTTGCTACGATCTCTAATATCTCCTTTTTTTAATTATAAAATTCTTTCATATTTCATATTTAGATATCTTTTATATTATGGATTAATGTGAAACGATCATTTGTTTAAAAAAAAATAAAGGTACTTTAGGGGAAGCTTCTATTGAAAATTAGCCATTTAAGCCCTGATAGAGAATACCAATCAGAATAAAACCCACATTTTATTTAAAACTAATTAATTTTACACTGACGTAATGAATTCCATCAAAATCGTTAGAGCCATTTTCGATAAAATCGTGAAAGTGTGCTAAATCGATGATATAAAGTGCCACTTCAGGTTATCCGATTTTGATGAAAAAGTTGCTGTAACATCCCAGGCTTATAAAAACCTTAAATATGCAATTTAACTTTCGTACGACTTTTCGTTTTTGAGCTAGACTGTTATAACACACACACACAGACCATTTTGCTATTTTGTTATTGTTTTGGGATTTTGTTATTTCGACTCAGGGGACCTCAAAATTCCTCATTCAGTATTCCTCATTCTTTGAGCAAAGCCGTGGACGGGAACAGGAAAAATTTTTAGTGTTGGATTTTCGGATTCTATGTATCGTGAAATGTAAAATCGCTAATTTTGAGGGGGATGGATGTTAAAATTTTGAATTTTTCGTTCGATTACGATGATTCATTATTGAAAATAATATTCCCGAAAGCTTTCAATTTATTGAAATCAGTAAAATTCTATAATAGAATTAGAGATAATGGTATTACCAATGACACTAGTGGATCCAGGATTTAATTTTTTGGGGGGCTTCAGCCCGTAAGCTTTTTTTCTCATAAAAATTACGATTATTACTTTAAAAAAAAAGAAAGAAACTAACTACCTGTATGAAATGGTATTTAAGTGATTCCTTAAGTTCATGTAATTACACGAACAATAATTCTTTAAGAGATTATTTTTTAAACATGGTTATATTTTACCATTTTGGGGAAGGCTTCAGCCCGAAAGCCCTCTCTCCCCCCGTAGATCCGCCCGTGACCAATGACCCTGGCGGGTAGAGGCAACAAAATAAAAACAAATTAAATTGCCAGCTGAATCGTAAGCAATTGAGCAGGTAGTTTACTCTGGATGACGAATTCCTTTTCATCTCCTTCCTACTTAAACACTTGACGTATCGAAGTGAATCTATCTGCCTGGTTCTCACCGACCCAGCTGATACACCGGCGAGGTGGTAGTGGGCGAAACAGAAATATTTGGCGGGGGAGGAAGAGGGGGGGCTGCTGCGGCGGCAGATATCCGAGAGCAGCGGAGGATGGAGGTGGCACCGCCCAGGGCTTGGAGGCCGGACACTCTTCCCGTCAGCGAGTTCATCAGCTCCCTCAAGAACTTCCACAGTGAGTCCTCACCTCGTTATTTTGTTCGAATATTTTATTTGAAAGAAAAAAAAATATAGTGAGCGAACATTTCTTATTTAATAAATAAGTAATTTAATCGATATATGATTAATGTTTTTACAAAAATACGTTATTAATCTCATCCTATATATTATTTCTAAAAGGTGTTTTTTTTTTGTCGGTATGCCAGAACTTCGCCGATTCTTCATCAAACTCAATTATTGACCACTCATTTTGAAGATATTCTTCAACATTCGAAAAATAGTAACATCCCTCCGAAATTTCTGGAAAAAAAGTAATGGAGGAAAAGAAACTTTATTTGTGAATAACTCAAAAAGTGTGCATTTTTTTCTATTTTGTACCCATGATAATTAGAAAGATTACTAAATTACCAACAAAACAAAAATGAAATCGTAAAAATCGGACAAGTATTAACAAAGATACAGTCCATTAGTTTTGGTATACTTAATAATGTCTTCCTCCTTAAAGATATTGTATTTAGCAGAAGAATAGTCTACTACATTTTTTTCCTGGCTTTTATTAACTTTATTATTTCTTAAAGATATTTGGTTGTTCTTACATTTTTTTTTTTTTATAATTTAGAATATCCTATGATCAGGTCATTATTTTCTCTTTATTACTTTTATTATCTTTCCTGTCAGCGTTTAAAAAATAGGTCCTAGCAAAGAAATTTGTGCAAATATTTTGGTCTATTATGTTTAATGGAATATCGTAATCGACTAGGGAAAAAATATTAATTCCTTCCACACATAATATACAGGAATTACTTATTTCCATATTGTTTTGCTATTTCTTCACTAAACAAAATTGTCTGCGAATTTTTCGAAAGGAACAACTATTAGACCCTATTTCATTAGTAAAAACTCCTTTTAACAAGAAATTTTACTATCTCCATGGAATTTAGGCTCAACAAGCAATTTTAAATTATTAAAAAAAAAGTCAACAAAATAAATTTAAAACAAAACTCAATAGCGCCATAATTTTTCTAGTGAATATAACGTTTGGGCTTTACAGGCCATTTTCAAATATTAAAATATAACGTTAATATTTTTAGATAAACAGTCGAAAATAAAGCTTGTTAGGGATAAGAGCTATTTTGTAAAAAAAAATTGATGCAAATCAAATCAATGCAACTAAGGATAAAATAAATTGTTCAGTAAATGTTGTCAATATTATGAAATTATAGGTAATTTATATATTGATCGGAACACTCTTTAAAAAAAATGAGAAAGGAAAAAAAAAGCGAACGACATTGAAGATATAGAAAGAATAAATTTTATAATTTTAATTTAACAATTATTACCATATTATTCAACCACTACCATAGTATTCAACTATGTATAAAAAAAATTGATGATTTATGATTATTTTTTTTTTTGGAATGTTTGGAAATGGCTTTTTTCTATATATAACGAACCGTTATATTATGGAAAAGGTGAATTTTCTTGTTAAAATGATTTTTTAATAATTAAGTAAAAGTTGTGAGATTAATAATGTGTTTTTGTAAAAACATCATAAAAAAAGAATTGTCAAAATAAAATTGTTTATCATTGACAGTTTGTCCCGTAAGTAGATGAAAACATTTAAATAGGTGATAAAAAAGTTTGTATAAATAATGGTCCTATTTTCCTCTGAAAAGCAAGGAAATTAATTTTTTTTTTTTTTAGTAAATCCCGTTTTTCGTTTATTATAAAGCTAGGAACTAAAAAAATATACAATTTAAGTGATTAAAAAATGCATTCAATGCATTCAATTAGTAAAAAAATACTTTAAATGAAAGTAAAGTTTATGATTGTTAAAACCATTAAAAGACGACATTTGAGCGGATAAACTAAGCTAGGTATTGTTTTAACAAACATTATAAATTATTGGCGATTTTTTTTATGACTTCAGGATGTGACGAAATAAATTGAGATTCATCTCAAGTCGTGTAAAACAAATGAGGTGATATGATATCATGACATTTAAAAGTGCTCGTGTTTTCAGCAAAAATGACTGTAAATGAAATGGTGTATTGTAAATACTTTATGTATATAATAAAAAACATAAAAACATTATTCTGGATTGGGACATGAGTAATGGGGATGATAGAATTCTCTCAATGATATACAGAAAAAAAAATGTAAATATGTGATAAACTCTGAAACATTTGTGTTTATATATGATAGAAACATATTACGAATTATCAGATGGAAAATGAGATTTTTTTCATTTAATTTAAAAAAATACATTTATTGTATGAGAAATAGATTATTAAGTAAATCGGTTATTTCAGTATAGTGTGATATGATGTGAATACACGTATCATACTTTTACAATTTAGAAAACCACGCCAAAATTTTATACTGACGTTTTCATAGATAAAACTATAAAAGCAGTAATTATGATTGTAAAAATCGTTCTAACAGGACTTTTGAGCAGATAAACTAAGCTGATTAATTATTTATCACATTTATTGATTAGTTTCGTATATTATTTGATGCATTTCATAGATTCGTGTAATAACTATATTTTATTTATGTGGAAAAAATCTATTCCTTTCATTTTAAAAAATGTAGGTTTTATTTTCAGTTTAATGGTAATGAAATAAAATTTTCGATGTTCAGTTTTAAACTATGAGTATAAGAGCTCTCTGGGAGCAAAAAAATCGTCACGATCATTTTTCGATCGGTGTTTATACTTTTTTTTTTGTTGAGTAATACTTTGTTTTTCTTCCTCCCTTCCTTCTGATCCCTGTACATTAATTACTGCCATACTTTGCGCAGTGGTCGAACAACGTGTTTATTTATGTTTGTGTTTGAGAACCCCTTGAGTTTAAAAATGCATGATGTATGTATAAATGTGGTATAAAAATGTGGCCATTTTACACATTATTTCTTGTTTTATTTTCACATTCCAATTAAATTGGCTACAAAGTTACTAAAAAAAAAAACTAATCTTATTTTTTTATGTTCGGTGCAATTTTTTATGTTTAAAAGGTATTAGGCCAAAGGACACCGGTAATATACGTTTTCATTTTATTTAAATAAAAAATTAAAATAAAAAGCTAGTAATTTGCCATCAAATATAGATATTTCTATTAATCAAATCACAGATATTAAAAAAAAAGTTTTTAGTCATGATTAATTAGATAAAATGTAAATTCTAACAAAAATTATACACAACGTTGAAATAAATAAAATAATTGAACACCCTGAGTTATATCGGTTACTAATTTGATGGTTGAGTGGACCCGAAAAGGATTATTGAACCACGGTTCCTTCGATGTTAAAACCCAATTATTTACTATCAAAAGACAACGTACAAAAACTTGTATACTAATTTTCAAGTTAGGATTTGAACTTGGGTCGTTTTGTTATTAAAAATAATCTTAAAAAAAGGTTACCTATACTATTATCAATACGATGAAATACGGAAGATACATTGGTGCAAAATAAAATAAAATTAAAAGATAAAAAGAAAAGAAAATAGAATCATAATAACTAAGTACAATAACAAATCAATCAATGATTGTTATTACAACATGATATTATTTATAGCTATAGAACAACGACATATATAGATATGATTATAAAGAGGTTATCTTATTATGCATCATACTAAGCGCAACTTTATTTCTTCTATATTAGTTTCGTATTTTCCCCTAGACTATCGTTGTCGTGCAATAGGTATCCTTATTATAAATAAAAAAAATAATGACTGTAATATAACTTTTTTTATTATCCACATTTAAGTTTGCTCCAAATTACAATTAATTAGTTATGGGCGTGGGCTGATTTAATTTTTAAGGGCGTTCGATATATTCCATCAAATATATTCAATTTTTCCACATGTTTTCGGAACTAGAACTTTTCCCCATGGAAATTTTCAATTAAAGGTTCCATAGAACAATCATTTAAGAATACTTTCACTTAAAGCTTCTGCGGTGAAGCAATTAATTTCGATAAAAAATCAATATAAAAAATTGTAATTAAAGTGGTTTAAATTTTTAAATTAAGTGATCTAAGCCCAATTACCGTTTATTTCTCATTTAACGTATATTTTTTTATTTTTTTTTTATAAAGCCTTACATAAATTCATGAATAAATAAAATAAAATTTAAAATCAACAAAAACGTTTACCATAAACACAAATTTTATTACAAAAAAGTTCCTCAGAAGATTAATTTTAAATACTTTTTTTCCTAAAAACTGTTAGAATGAAACCTTTTAAAATGTTCTTGTGATTTTTTTGCTTCGTTCTGTAAGAGTTTTTTTAACTTAGTCTACGATTTAACTGTAAAATTATTAAAATGAAAAAATTCTCTTAGTTCACTAATCATTTTTAGAAACATCTCATTTGTTCGTAACTGAGGAAATTGTTAGTTCGCTAAAATAACAGTTATTATTTTATGAAACTAAAGGCTTGAGATAAAGCATGATCGATATACTGATTATTGTATCCTTCTCAAGAAAATAGATAGATTACTAAAATAAAAGTTACTATATTAAGTACCACAGACGGATCTATAGGGGAGCTTTCGTGCTGAGGCTACCCTCCCTCCAAAATGGTAAACTATAACCATGTTTTATAGAAAAAAATATTAAAAACTATCTCTTAAAATATTATTGTTCGTGCAATTACTTCTAATTGGACTTCAAGAATCACTAAGACACCATTTCATATGGGTAGTTAGTTACTTTCTTTTTATTTTCAGATTAATTATCGTTATATAAATGAAAAAAAAAAATCCTTCAGGCTGAAGCCTCCCTCCTCCAAAATTAAATCCTGGATCCGCAAGTGTTAAGTACCTACTATAATAGAAAAACTAATTGCCGGTAATAATAATAAACATTTTTTTTTAAATTTACAGTTATAGTCTAAAGTCAATTTTTTTTAAAATAATAGGCATGTAAATAAATAAATAACTAAAAAAGAGATAAGATTTAATTCGGGTCAACAAACCTTCTATGCAATTAGTCTTTATCAGAGGTTGGTTC